AGGCTATGTGGCTTGGGGAAATTCTCATAAAGGCTGAACTTGAGGTTTGAGAGATCCAGTGATTGCCAAGTAGGAGAGACAAGCTTTGTGGATAAAGATGCTTTTAGCAGGGAATCCAAGTAGTGGTTTCAAATATGAGCCAAAAATTGAAGGTACAAGGGTGGACATTTTGAATTGAAGATGTTGATTTTCAGTTTGAAATCAACAAGGCTGCACCTTGAATGGAAAACTCCATGAAGCATGTTCAGAATAGATAGCAGATGGAATAATAATAATAAAGATCAGGAAGACCAACTAGTTTTAGATTAAAAGAGAATAGAACCTGCAGACTGAACTTTAAACGTTAATGTAACATCACTCCGTGATAGACTTTAAAAAAAATCATACTTCAGGTGATGGTCATATTTCTATAGCATGTTATTCAATAGAGGTCATTACATATCTTTACACAGAATTGTTCTAAAATCATCAAAGGTTTTAAAAGGTTAACAGCAAGATGGTTCTTTTTTTTTTTTTTTTTTTTAGACAGAGTCTCGCTTTGTTGTCCAGGCCAGAGTGAGTGCCGTGGCGTCAGCCTAGCTCACAGCAACCTCAAACTCCTGGGCTCGAGTGATCCTTCTGCCTCAGCCTCCCGAGTAGCTGGGACTACAGGCATGCGCCACCATGCCCGGCTAATTTTTTTATATATATATATCAGTTGGCCAATTAATTTCTTTCTATTTATAGTAGAGACGGGGTCTCGCTCTTGCTCAGGCTGGTTTTGAACTCCTGACCTTGAGCAATCCGCCCGCCTCGGCCTCCCAAGAGCTAGGATTACAGGCGTGAGCCACAGCGCCCGGCCAGCAAGATGGTTCTTTTAGCATATTCTTTTAGATATTCAGCCTTGTGAGAAAACAATGTATGCTCTTAACTGGGTTCTGGAAAAACGGGGGAAAAAAACATCTCACAAAAGAGGCGACTTACATCCAATTCAAAATAAACAAGAAAAGAAAAGAAGGAGAAAGTCTGCTATTTCCGTTTCCCATTTCTCTCCCTGTTTGAAGTTCTATATCTCATTGAAATGTGGTATAGACCAAGGTGCAATGAATTCAGAGTCCTGTGATCAGTTTGATCTTGATTTGCAGGGAGTGTTAAAATACTCAATCCATCTGATTGCCACTGCTATCTTAGTAATAGATTAATTTAGAAGTGGTTCCAGATTTCTGAAAAGCCTTAAAAGGAAACTAAAGGGGGAGGGAGTAGCAGAGGGAAACCCTTAATGAGTGGAAACTACTTAATGAGTGAAAAGAGGTTCATTATTAGAATCTTTATATTCTGGAGTAGGATCTGATATTGACCTTGGTAATAATAGCCCTAAAAATTGATTAAGTAACAGTTTTTACAAATCATCTTTTTCTCCATTATCCAAGGTCATAGCAATGACTCATGTAAAAACTCTAAGCATCCACTGCCTGAAAAATCATACCAGTAGGATTTCAGAAGGGCTTTTCAATGTTAAATAAAATGTTTGCTTTGCCATATCTCTTATTTAGGTCTCGTCTCATTCTTTTTTCAAGTACTGAGTTGTATCTCTCTTCTCATATTTTTTCCAAAGTCATCCTGGAATAGTCTTTATAGAACAGAATTTTACTTCAGAAAGGGACCTTAGAATTCATCTGATGCCCCTCCTCTCACACTCACCATGATTCTAGAGATGAGAAAATGGAGCTCTGAGAGCCTTGTTCTCTCACAGTTAGGCGAACATGGTGCCGGGTCTGCATTCCAGGTCTCTGGCCCTCCACGGCTTTCCCACTCTCTCATACTGTCTCTCAGATTAGTTTGGGATCAAAACATTAGCTCTTTTTCTCACCCAAGACCTTTTCAGCAGTGTCAAACAGCCCAACTATGCTTCTGTTGTTTTCTCTTTTATAGTCCTAACTAACATTCATTGAGACACAGTTTGCAAAAAAGGGCGAGTGCTGGTCTCACTGCTGACCCTTTGTGGCAGTAAGAGAAAAACGTTTTTAACAGTGAACTTTGAGACTTGAGTGTTGAGTGTTTCTAATTTGATGCTGTCGATGACACTGACTTCTACTAGTTATTTAGCACATATGAATCATGTTATAGTTTCAAAATACTTTTCTATCAATAGCAACTTCTTAGCATGAATCAGGCTAGTTTTATTATTTCCTCCTCCCCCAAACAGCTTTCCTTGGTCACATCAGATTTCGTGAATGCAATGAGCTGTCCAGATGCATAATTGTATGAACTCCTAAAGTCTACGGAGTGCAAGCAAAAAGTTTTAGGTTAAGGGCAGGAGCAGTCTTACCACTTGGATTCTTGGTTGCTAAGGACAAGGTTGGGGGTGAGTGGTAGAGGGGGAAAGGGCAGAAGAACGTTCTGCATTCACTGATGGCAAGCCAAGAGGTTATAGGTATTCTAGCTCATCATCCAGTTCCCAGAGTCTTGAAGAACCTTGCCTCATCCTGGCATCTGCTGTGGTGCAGGGCAGGGTGAAGGTGCGGAAAAGGGCCATTTGCAGTCTCTAGTTCAGCCCTGACTGAACCAAACCTCAAAAAGCAACAACTCAAATTGTCAGGGGGAATCCATGGGGGCACGTTAGATCAGCAATACACCAACTGTTCCTAGTTGCTATTGACAGGAATGGACACCTGAGTGCACCCCTTGGTATAGTGACTCTGAGCACGAAACTAGAGGCAATTCCAAACCTAGAATAAGAATAAGGCTCTCCTTGTGCATGACTCAAATAGAAAAGCTCTTTGAATCACAACATTTGAATCTGAGTCACTCACCAGTCCTGTCTTTGTCCAGTAAAGGCAATTTAAACATTGAGGTTTTTTTGATTCTCAGTCTTTCCTTCTGAGCAACCTTCCATCTCAACCACTCCATAGAAACAGTAAGATTTCTTTTAGGCATTGATTTTAAAGAAAGACCACTTTATACAAGCAGGTTTGGGGGATTTCAGGGCTTAGGAGAGTCACTAGAAATTACTGTCAGTTCTCGCTGTAATGCTATCTCTGCCCCTGGGACACATAGCCTGCCAAATGGCCCCATAAATCTGATTACCCTCACTCACTTTTCCTCTTCCTCCATCTTTGTTAAAATTCTGATTTACCAGGAACTTCAGGGGAGTTAAGACAAATGAAACCTAACAAAAGTTCTGACCTTCCATTGCCACCAAAGCACTGATGATGCATCATCACAAATTGTATTTTTAGAGACTTGCAAGTGTTATATTGGGCTGGCCCGTATTTAGGTCACTTTGTCACCTCCTCCAAATTCCTCTGATATTTTAAAGACGACCTGAGAGTCCACAACCACACTTGCTAGAAATTCTTACTAACTTTTATGTCTCATGCTACTGTTTAATTCTGTCCCCTGATTTTCAAAGCCCTGACTGATGGACCTTGACCTGTAATACCTCAATTTTATACTTATAAGGAAAAAGCTGACCATAAGCTTCTGAAACCCACACTTCCAAATCCCTTTCCAGGTTTTAGCCCCTTCATTACCTGGTGTGTCCCACATCTCTATTATACTCTCTCCCTCTCCCTCCTTATACAATCTCAAATCTTCAGATTATCAGACGAAGAGCACAGTTAATCATCATCTCTTAGGGTATGTCCCCTCTTCCATAAAATAGCCATTTATGTGGCCAATTATCTTAGACTTAGGGGTCAAATTCTATCAGAGTTCTTTCCTGTCCGCCCAGAAAATTCAATGATCACATGGTTCAAAATGGTTTGTTACCAAAATCTGCTCCTGCAATTAGGCATCCTGGTTTTATTGCTTTGAGGAGGGTGTTCTTTATATCAGAGTCAGAAGGAACCAAAAAAGTAACCAATGGAAATAGAGAAATGTAGTTTGAAAGGCAAGAAAGGTTAAAAAAAAATAGAAAAACTGTTAAAGGGGGAAAAAAATAAGCTAAGAGAACAGCACAAAGTGGAGGTGTACACAACAGTGGTGCTGCATGAAAATGTAAGGAATTATATATGGATAAATCTGGGGAAGTTACCCAGAAAAGAACTTTCTGGTTGACTGAAGCTTTAGGTTGTAGGGGAGGTGGAAATAGTCCTGGTCAATTAAAACAATCACCTCCTGCTGTCCCCCTGTGTCCTTAGCACCCAGCACAGTTGCTGGGCATATAGTAGCTGTCAACGAATATCTGTGTAATAAATTTAACACTGGCCACCTACTCAGTGCTTCAAACAAACTATGAGATTCTGTGACACAGGCACTTCCATGTGCACACAGGCCCAATCTATGGCAGGATTTGCGGGAAAAAGACCTGACTTAAAGGACAGTATGGGGAATCGACTGGCTATAGTTCATTTGGCTGAGCTAGGTGAAAACACAGCGAGTAAAGCGAGCTCAGGTGTGCAGACTTGAGACCACCCTTAAGGCTTTTCTTTTACATTATTGTCTGCCAGGCTCTTACATTATTGTCTGCCAGGCTCCTGCCCAACTTCTGTCTCCACCTGTCCACCTGAGGCAACCAAGGAGTTAGCCAGGTGCGGTCCTGCGGCGGTAACAGGGAAGACTCTTGGGGGCGGTACGTCTCCTCTCTCTTGGCTTCTGTTGCCTGCAACTGCCACGCGGCCCCTCGCGCCGCTGCAAAGGAGCGGAGGTCGAAGCACGTTGCGGTGCGGTGATGAAATGCTCCCAGAATCAGCCTCTGGAGCCCGGCCCCCGACACCAACCGGGCTCCTGGCGTTGTCTCTAGGAGCCCTGGGGATGCTCCCGCCCCCTTCGTAGAGCCCCGGCCATCCAGGCCCGCTGCTTCGGTGCGCGCCCACCACCTGAGGGGCGTTGCAGGGTCGCCGCGGTCCTCTGCGCCCCTGGGCACGGGCAGGGGCGGGAGGGGGAAGCGGAGTGGGAGGCGCCCCGGGCTCGCGCCTCGGTGCTCCGCGCGGGATTTGCCGCCTTAAGCTGCAGCAGCTGCAGCAGCCGCGGCGGGAAGAGGGGTGGAGGGTGGAGAGGAGGGCCGGAGCCGGGCCAGGAGCGAGCGAGCGAGCGAGGGAGGGAGGGGGGCCGGGAGGCTGTGCCAGGCGAGCCGGAGGGGTGCTCCGCGCTCCCCCGCCCTCCTTCCGGGAGCGAGGATGCAGACTCTGAAACTGGTGCTGCTGGGCTGAGGCGGAGGCAGGGGAGTTGCAGCGCGAGGCTCCGTGAGTGTGTCTCCTGCGCGCGGAGAGGCGGGGGGAGGCGGAGGACCAGGAGGAGGAGGAGGAGGAGGAGGAGGAGGGGGAGAATGCCCGGAGCCGCCGCCGCTGCCGCCGCCGCCGCCGCGATGCTCCCGGCTCAGGAGGCTGCCAAGCTGTACCACACCAACTATGTGCGGAACTCGCGGGCCATCGGCGTGCTGTGGGCCATCTTCACCATCTGCTTTGCCATCGTCAACGTGGTGTGCTTCATCCAGCCCTACTGGATCGGCGACGGCGTGGACACCCCGCAAGCCGGCTATTTCGGGCTCTTCCACTACTGCATCGGCAACGGCTTCTCCCGGGAGCTGACCTGCAGGGGCAGCTTCACGGACTTCTCCACGCTGCCCTCGGGCGCCTTCAAAGCCGCCTCCTTCTTTATCGGCCTCTCCATGATGCTCATCATCGCCTGCATCATTTGCTTTACCCTCTTCTTCTTCTGCAACACGGCCACCGTGTACAAGATCTGTGCCTGGATGCAGCTCACCTCCGGTGAGTGCGCGTCCCCTCCGCGGGGGCGGGGGACGGGGCGTCCGGCCGGGGAGGGGCCAGAGTGGGAGGGACGGGCCCGCGCGCGCCGCGGAGCGCCCGGCAACTTAATCCTCTCGGGCGTCGAGGTGTGGGGGGCGGGAGCCGCGGGAGGCCGGAACCCCCGGGGTTCCCCAGCCCGGGCACTAGCGCCTCGTCCCGGGGCTTCCGTGAGCCTCCCAAGTCGGGGGCGCCACCCAGAGGGACGCGCCGGAGTCGGGGCGGTTGTGGGGCCGAGTCCGCTCAGAACTAGAGCTGGGGGGCGGAGAAGCGGCGGCTTAGAGAGCTGGGGGGGGGACTAAGGAGGGACACTCACAGCGAAGTGAAAAGCGGATTTGGAGAGGTTGTACTGGGAGGAACAGCCAGTCTGCTCTGCCCCTCTCTGGGACTATTCCTATCATTGTTTCTTGGGGGCGAGGGGTGTGGAGACTGGAGTGAAATTGTCTCTCTGTCCCGGGCAGTTGTAAATATTTGATCGTACGTCTGGAGATGAATAAATCCTAAGGCTGTCTCGGGTTTCACCGTTTTAAGAAAAATGTAGCTTAGAACGTTCCCTATCCCCCAATGTCAAGTCTCAGTTTGCCTCCTTGTCAGTGCAGAAGGTCCTTCCGTTTCACCTTTCAACAGGGGTCTTCAGGAAATCAAGATTTCTCAAGATCCCATTTTGGGGAAGTGGACAGAGAGGAAAACCTTTTTCATTAGCATCTCTGATCACTTCGCCTGTGGGTGATAGATTGTTGCTAACTGGAGCAAATGAAAGTACTTTTGTCTGAGCATCAAAGTTACTTTTAACCCAGAAAAGATGAGGGTGCGTGTCCTGGTGGCTTTGTTGAAGAGTTCTGAAACAAGACTGATTCCTTACTGTGCTTCCCCTGAGGCCCATTTCCTCTCTGCCAGCCGTCCAAGATGCCCTTCCTTCTCAAGCCAAGGGTCCTAAGATCCTTGACATCTTCCTGTTCCAACATTGTTGAGATCCATTTGGTTTTGTGGATGGTCTGGTTTTGTAGGAATATTGATGTCTCAGGCAGCCAGACTTTTCGTTTGTGGTTTGATTTTAATGTTGTCATTCTTTACAGATGTTGGTTTCAAGATTTATTCTGTTCCTGGGAAGGTTTTCTGGGTAGTGGGAATTTAATCCCTGAGTTTACCAGAGTGGTGTAGGATGATTAAATCCTTAAAGGTGCTGGACAACAAACAGCATAAAGGTTGTTAAGGTCGTAAGATCTTATATGGCTAGTTTGGTAGTAACAAACGAGAAGCTTGTGGAAGACTAAACGTGTGGAAGTATGTTTTCTAGTTAGCATGTCTCAGCTTTAATTTGCCACGTACTGTGAAAATGGGTATGTGAAAAGCAAGAAATGAGCACCAGTAGAGCCCCAGCCATCTCATGCACACGATCATCCTGCTGAAATGTAAGAGTTCTGCGTCTCCCTCTCCCCCAAGTCCTAACTTCTTGAAGCACCCCACCCACTCTGTTTTTATGTATAATGTTAACTTTTATGGCCATTTCAAGAGCAGGATAACTTTGAGATTATGAATCAATTTGTGTATTGTGGGTTGTTCTTGACGCTTAGTTCTGGTTTGACTTTGGAGAGAATAGGACATGCAGGATGCAGATGTTGTAGAAAAAGCATTGACCCTGCACAGCTAATTTTAATTCTGAGTTAAATGACCTATTTAGACCAGTGATTCAAATTAGATTGTTTTTCAAAGGTCTGAAAGTAATTTGCAGGTGATTTCTCAACAACATATTCTCAAATATTTGATTTTTTATGAGGTTTCATACTCTAAACCCAAGGTTTTGTTTTTTTTTTGTTTTTTTAGAAGACAGAAAAAAATGATGTTTGGGAAAGAAATACCAATGTTGAAGTTAATACAAACTGCAACTACTACAATGTGGTTTTCTTTTCTTTTCCTGAAATAAAGCACACAAAAATGATTTATTCTAGGTTAGTGAAATATAATGTTTTCAGACATTTGATATAAACATATGCTCCTGTTTTCCATGTCATGTAAAATGTGGAGATAGCCTTTATACTAAAGATATAAGGACGTTTACTTCATTTTGGAGAAGTCCAGATCCTTAAATGGCATACTTTTTAAATACCTTTATTTGCAATTTATTTGGTATTTTATTTCTAGGTAAACTATAGGACATGATTTTGTTGGTTAATGAAGTATATTAATAAAAGAAGAATGGATTATGATGACAGGTTAAATGAGAATCAAAGTCGATTATATTCACAGGTTTTTAAGGAATGAGATACAGAAGATATTTCTGAAGAATGTCACATTTTTAATATGGTTTTCAGGATTTATTTTTTTAAGTCTCACAGCACTAACAAGAAATTTTACATAATGTATTGTAGGTTACTTTGGAAGTGTAGTTTCTAACCTTTAGATCATTCCTCTTTAATGTTAAGTAGCCTTTTCCTACTTCTTGTTTAAATGTACCTAAGCTAATCTCAAGTGTAATTTCCTAAATAGGAAAGATGAGACTTAATGTACCATTTACTTATTAGAGGCTGTTTAACCCTCATCAGAAATCAAATGATTCACTTGTGTGTTTAGTTATCTAAGCTTTTTAATATAATAACACCTTAAATCAGAGCCAGATAGAATATAAAATCCTATATGAAATGATATACTAGGATGATGAAACAGGAGATTTTCTTGTGGTAATACAATATCAAGAATTATTATTTTTATGATTCTGAACAATGAACCAGAAAAATTAATTAATTTATTCGACCGGAAAATGATGTTGCTTATCTGCCTAGATGTGTGAAACACATATAATTAATGGCGCTATTATAAACACCTTACCCTCTACCTCTTTCCTCTAAATCTTTATCAGCCTCAGTAGTATGAAACTAGGAAACACAGACTTAGGAGCTAATATCTTTGGATGTAATCCTGTACTTACGGATCATGCCTCATATCAAGACTGAAGACATAAAAATAATACGTAAAGTAAATAATGACAATCAAAGATGTTAACCTTCCCCAAATGTACAGACAATTTGTTGAGGAGAAAAGAGAGACTTTTCTTCTTTCTGTGTGATTTCTCTAACACTAAAAAGAAAGGGGTGGATATGTAATTGGTCAAGCAAGGTAATAAAGTCCAGATTTTTTTTCATCAAGATGGAAAGGGAATTTTGTCCCTCTGGGAACTTGATTCTGTGCTTCCATGTTCTTGTTCTCTTTAAATCAGTATTTCCGTTGATTTCTGAGCCTACCAGTGGCCAAATCTCAGAAAAGCGTTTTGCTTTGTTTTACTCACTATAAGCCGTACTTGGACTGTTTCCAGAAGTGCATGTGTTCACCATTTTAGGCCGAAGAAATCTTTTCTTTTTTTTTTTTTTTTTATAAGCCAAAGTATTAAGGTAGAATTTAAGATTTCGTAGACATCCACCATGGATTTCTTGGTCAAAGGAAGCAGAAGAGGACAGGTACTTGCTTTCATCTGTGAAGAAGGGGCACCTGATCCAGGTTGAGTTTCTTATTCAGGAGGGATAAGGACAGAAGTCGGTTGCATTCCCCAGATTCCTCTTCTGTCGTCATTCTGAGTGTACCAACAAGAAGGGCCACCAAGATGGCAAGGCTAATGGCATGGGTTAAGGGCTGAATTGTTTAGTCAGTTCCCCCAGGCTGCCAGCCTTAGTTCTCCCAAATTCTTATTAGCTGGCTTGCTTTCTGAAATTTTATAACTTTTCATGTAGGTAAGATGAGAATCACCAAAGGTAATCACTGCATTTCTTAGCTTGCAAGGAGAGCATTTGCAATGGTACACCGTCCTATCTCATGGCACCCTGCTCTTATAGATCTCATTAGTGTTTGAAGTTGCAGTGTGTTTGCATGTTTGTTTAATGTCCGTGTTCTCTAGTACACTGAAAGTTCCGTAAGGCCTTGACTGTTTTTCTTTATATAGCGTAGAGGTCAAGAGCATGGACACTGGAGTTAAAAGATGTGGGTTTGAAGCCTGACTCTGACACATATTGTGTGACCTGGGGAATTAATCTTTCTCTACTTTAGTTGCTCATCTGCAAAGAGACATATAATTGTATGTACCGCAGGAGATTGATGCCAGGATTAGATGAGCTAAGGTTTATGCCTAGTGCCTGGCTCATAGTAGGCAAGCACTATATGAGTGTTTGGTATGGTTGCTGCTGTTTTGTTATTATTATTACTTTATCCTGGCACACAGTAGTATGTGTATATCTGGCACATAGTAGGTATGCAGTCAATTTTTGTTGAGTTAATGAATAAAAAAAATGAATGATTAAAGGGGTGAAGAATGAAAGGAGAAAGGAGTGATTTTAAATTTCCCATATGCCATGGTAAGAAGCGAATGCCATATACTTTGAAAGCCATGATTTTTTTTTTATGGTTTGTGGCTTCAAATGGCCACACTGAAAGAACTCTTTCACATTCTTTGATGGCAAAGGTTGTGATTTGACAGCCTAATTCATGATGAGATTTTTTCCAAATGGGGGTTTTTGTCATGTATAGGGAATGCTCTTTATTACAACACTAGGAGATAATCATATCTCAGGTTTTAGCGAATTTTCCCTTACCATTTGGTTTCTCATTTAAAAAAGCATCCAAGATGGAGGTTTTATTTAAGAATCAAGAGATCAGGCTTGCTTTCATGAAGAACAGAGACCTGTTTCAGGTTGGATTTCCTTATGCTCCTTTAGGAGCAGTAAGGACAGGAGAAGATGATGTGTTTTCCAGGCTTTCCCATTTCTTCCTACTGGGCATCAGTGCAAACGTGCTTTTCTTGGACGGACTCCCAGGAGCCTGTAGGGTGGTGGTGCTGAGTGTGCAGAGCGCTGATGGGGGTGCTCTGAAGAGGGGACAGGAGTCTACTCAAGTGCAGACTCATTGTTCAGGATAGTCGTCAGTCTTTTCCATTTGGCTAATGCTGAGCACCGGGAGAAAGCAAGTGCTTGTCTCAAAGA